TGGGCTTGACAGTTACTGACAAAATACTGACCTCATCTGGTATCTGCCCCCCAAAAGCAAATCCTTTAAAATTCATCTTAGATTTTCTATAACCCTACTTTCAGACAAAAATTTTTTCCAAACAAGACAATTTTGTTATTTATAATTTTCAGAATATTCAAAACATAAACCACGTTACACAGATAACTATGGGGCCGTTAAAAGAATAAGGTTATTTGGTGGCAAGTTATCTTCCTTAGCTTTTTTCTGAAATATTCCTTTCAGCCAGTTTGAAAGGCTAGCTAACAATGCATCTGTGCTGAATATTTTATCTGAGGTATTATAAGATGATTCCTAAATTTTCTTCAACCTTTTCCCCAACTAAACATACGTTTGTCAACTAAAATGCAAGTAAGTGCCATCTCTGGCATAGCTTGTTACTAAGGGAAAAAAAGTAATTTTCTAGTTTAAATGATCTAAAAGCGATACAATAATGAATAGGGAAATTCCCCGGTACTACACAGAAATCATGACAGTGAATGCTATTTTTTTCCCCTCATTATTTTAAATTTTATTGGATTGATGGGAAAAATGGAACTCTCAGTTGAGGTTGTTTTATAATTTGACAAGGTCAATTCAGTAGGTATTTCTAAAGATCAATCAATCAGTCACACCTTAAGGCTGAGGTTCTATGACAAAAGTCTTCAAAATATTGTCAGGTTGATATTCCCAGATTAAATGAAAGTGCATAATGAGAGTATTCTATACATAATAAATGTGAATCAGTGGCATTGGCCCAGAACTTCTAAAAGAAAAACTGAGGAAAAACTGAGAAAAACTGAGTGTTAGCCAAAACCTAGCATTATTGGAAGCCACTGCTAGAAGGATAAAAATCTAAGTTTTTACCACCTCTTGTACACCTGGATTGGAGGTGTGATAGTTATGAGACAGACAGAAAGAACCTCTAGTACAGAATAGATTTACTGTGTATATAAGAGTAACACATTTCCTTTAAACACTTCCCACCAACTAAGATCTCCTCCAACTGCATAGAAAATTATTTCATTATTGGGATTAATCAAGACCCAGAGACTATATTTTACGATGCTTAACTGCCGTTCCTTGAAATGCAAATATCAATAAAGGTTCTCCAAGAGACTTCTTTATACCAGTAACAGATGGCTCTCCATTGGGAGGAGAGGATAATTTTGCCCACAAAGGGATATTTGATGATATCCAGAGATTTTTCTGGTTGCCACACTGGGGAAGGGGGTTGCTACTGCATCTCACTGGTAGAGTCAAGGGATGTTGCAAAATATCCTGTAACATACACGACAGTCCCCCACAGCAAGGACTTATCAGGTCCCAATGTCAGTAATGCTAAGATTGAGAAATTCTGGTCTATACAAATTACAAAATACCAAATGTCTGGAATATGTTTTCTACTTAAATTTGGACTTAATTGTATGTTTTTGACACAAGAATTAACTAAAGTTGAGCTCACAAGTATGCTCAAATTATTTATAAAGCCAAACCAGTGATCAAAAATAAAAATTATGAAGCCATTATAAAATGAACTCCACATCTGCCTAAGTTACTCCTGTAGAAGAACAACAGGCTTTAAGGTACAGTGGGAAAATCTAAAGTTTAAGGCTCAGAAGGTCGATCTATTTCCACAAGACTGTTGTACAGAAAAGTAAAAATGCCAAGTGCTCTCAGTCACCTTTTCCAGCTACAAGCTGTTAGCTGCAGGTCGTATTCACTACTAAAAGTAGGAAAATGCCTAGAGAAAGGGGGCAAGAAAGATCAAGACACACTAATTGCAACCTAGTGAATTGACAAGGAATATTATAGGACCATCACGCTTTAATTTTGCCCTTCAAGAAAACTGATGTGCAGAGTCAGACATAAAGTTCATCCAAAGGCTATTTTGCTGTAAACTTACCATTGACACATCATATTAAAGATATGTAAAACCTCAAGCACTATGAAAATGCATCTAAATCCCAACCTGTACATTCCTCTTTATCCTTCCAGTTTCTAGACAAAGAAGAATTTGCGCATTGTTTATTCATCATCTCTCCCCTATATAAACAGAACTGATACGATGGAGAAAAATGACTTACAATTTTGTCTGACCCATAGATCTTCTCCAGTTGTTCAGCAACATCCCTTGTTCCATCTGGACTTCCATCATCTATGATTATAATTTCATAGTTGATGCCACTAAAATAAAAAAAAATTAAATCTGTATTGCTTGGAGACAGTATTCTCAAATTAGAAAATAATTTTAAAATCACTATCCGTTCCCCAACATAAGTGGAAATGTATTGTCATATTAATCACCAAGGAAAACTTCAATTACCAAATGAAATAAATGTCAGATATTTAGTATGCCACCTCTAAACTCAGCATGTTGCTAGGATTAGGTGAGATGTTAAAAAAAGTTCTCACACAGAAAACACACTCTTTAGTTTAAAAAAAAGTCTATGATTCTATGATAGGATATCATATGAAACGTTATTTACCCACTTGGGAAATGGAATTGTGCAACCTTAATATCAAATCTTAGTTACAAAAAATTATTTCAAAAGTATATTTAAAAGACATCAAGTCAACTAAGTAGCTCTGGGTGATTATTCTTTCTAATTTAATCCAAATAGATTTAAATAATATAATTAGAATCAATCTGATTTAATCTCACCCTTAAAAAACCCATTTTAGAATGGTGACAATCTTTTACACCACTATTTCTCCCCCCACATCCTCTTAAAGAGGACAATCTTTCAGTTAACTTTATTGGGAAACTTAAGGGAAGAGAAAAGGAGGTACAGCCGAATCCCCATAACACAACATTCTGTTTCCTCTTGGTCCAGCTTTAAGTAACATTTGAAAGGAAATCCACCAGGAAACGCATTCCAGTACTAAAGGCTTAAAAAAGTCAGCTCCAGCAAACCTGAAAGCAAAACCTAGCCTATCTATTCTCTAAGAGTAGACAGACAGACAGACAGACAGACAGACACACACACACACACACACACACACACACACACACACACAGTAGAAACAAAGACTTCAGCTTCCCAGAGTGCCGTAAATTTGGGCATGTTTTTACAAGCCAAAACAAGTTAAGATGTTGATTCCAGGTGATGTGCTGAGACATACTTCATAAACAAAGAGTCACTGATAAGTAAAATTACCCCCCTCTCCTACTTCAAAGCACCCACACCACCTGAGGGTGAGGTAGCTTAAAGGAATCAAGCTGACCTGACTTTAGACAATTGGAGTGCATCCGAAAATAAAATAGTGGTTTCCTTCATTATACTTCATTTTGATTAAAAAATATTCACCTAGAAACCACTGAAAGATAAACTGCACTACATTAAAAAAAATTGAATAGAGCAAAAAACACTGTATAATCAGAAGACAAACTCAAGCAAAATCAGCTACACGATAATTTCTCTAATTTGGGAAAAGCCCATAGAAGTCAAAATATAACTTAAAAAAAGAGGGAAAAAAGATGCATTAAAAAACTTCGAGGAACCATGTAGTGAAGATAATTATTTCATTCAAAGTATTATAATTAAAACAGCAATGTTTCCCACCAATTAGCATTTCCAACGATGTAAGTTTAATAAAACTCAGACTGGCTGGTTCGTGGAGAAACAGGCACTATCTGATGAATGCTGGAGAGTCCTAAGCCGGTATAATCTTTTGATAGCAATTTGGCAATAACTATAAATTTTAAGCACATCTCTGTCGACTCAGCAATTCCACCACAAAGACTCTATCCTAGTAAAACTATCACTGTGTTTGTTACAACAGTTATCTAACGAAGGACTACTTACTATGTGTCACACACTTTTCTAAATGCTGGAAAATACGCTGTGTTTGAACAAAGTCCCCGTTCTCATTTGAAAAGTCAAAAAATAAAAATTTTAAAAACTGGAAATAATCTGTGTTCACTGATATGACCCGGTTGGATAAATTATAACACAGCCATATGATATTACTAATTTTCAAAATAATTTGCGAAGCTTGTATGTGCTGATATGGAAAGATCTTCAAAGATTTACACATGATCCCATTGGTGTAACTGTAAAACAAGTTACATCGTACTCATGCCAAGATTTTCTGAAGTTTTTTTTAAAGTGGGTAACACTTCCAAATTCAAACTCCAAAACCTCCCAGTTTCTAACAATCACATCAAACATCCAACAGCAAATCTACCCTCTGCCCTGTCCGGAAAGGTTGTCCAGTCCAACAGTAGCTCCCTAATCAACAGAATCCAAACCTCATGCTTACATAAGCCCTCGACATGGGGGCGGGAGTAAGCCTGTTCGCGTAGAGCTCCGGCTCCTGCCGCAGATCCTGACCACCTAGAGGGAGGAATGAGGTCAGGCTGTCAGCCTCGCCCGAAGTAAAAGGGCGTCCAACCCTTCTAAGAAAAAGGCGGGGGGAGGAGTATCGGGGACTGCATAGCAAAGATAAAGGACTGTGTCACAAAGCCCAAGGGAAGGAATAAGACCCGAGAACCCCATAAGTATCCGCCTCTGCTTTCTTCGCAGGATGGCTTCCTCCCCAAGGATTCCGGCCGGAGGCGAAAAGAGAGGCCAGGCACGGCCAACTCGCGCAACCAACTGCCGACACCCAGGCCGGGGAAGCCAGCTCATCTCATTCCTCGGGGAGGGCGGCCAGGCGCGCTACCTCTCGGAGAAGCTCTTCACCAGCAGCCACACGATGAGCGGTAGGTTCTCGCGCTCGTTGTAGGTGGGCAAAAGCACCGAATACTTGTCCTGTCTCGCGGTACGCCCCTCCGGCTCCCGCCGAGACCTAGGAGAAGTACGACTTGCTTCCTTGGAGGCCATGGCGGAACTGCGCGAGACGCCGGAACCGGAATGACGTCAGTGCGGCGCGGGAAGGGGACGGGGCGGACTGTACCAAATCCGGGAGGAGCGGGATGGTCTGTCTGTTTGAGTTCTAGTCCTCCTAAGGCCCTCCGCATGGTGCCATTGGGAATAGTTAGGAGTTGTGTATCATTCAAGGTGAATCGGAGGGTTGCTTCGGAAATACATATCTATCAATCACCTTTTCCCAAGCTCCATAAAGTGTTTTAGTTTATCCCAGTCTCTAGAAGAGGAAAAGCCGGAAGCGGAAGTGCCTTTCATGACAACGTCCGGAAGAGGGTGCCATGGCTGTCAGGGAGGAGGTGCTTTCCTTGCAGGCAGAAGTTGCGCAGCGGGAGGAGGAGCTGAGTTCCCTGAAGCAGAGGCTGGCGGCGGCTCTTGTGGCGGAGCAGGAGTCAGAGCGATTGATTCCGGTGTCACCCCTGCCGCCGAAGGCTGCCCTGTCCCGCGATGAGATTCTGCGCTATAGCCGGCAGCTCGTACTGCCTGAGCTAGGTGTGCAGGGACAGCTGCGCCTGGCGACCGCGTCCGTGCTGGTCGTGGGCTGCGGGGGGCTCGGCTGTCCACTAGCACAGTACCTGGCGGCAGCCGGCATCGGCCGCCTGGGCCTCGTGGACTATGACGTAGTAGAAGTGAGCAACCTGGCCCGCCAAGTGCTTCATGGCGAGGCACTGGCTGGCCAGGCCAAGGTCTTTTCGGCCGCCGCCTCACTGCGCCGTCTCAATTCGGCAGTGGAGTGCGTGCCCTACGCCCAGGCGCTTACGCCAGCCACGGCGCTAGATCTCGTCCGCCGCTATGACGTGGTGGCTGACTGCTCCGACAACGTGCCTACTCGGTACCTGGTTAACGATGCATGTGTGCTAGCCGGCCGGCCTCTGGTGTCGGCCAGCGCTCTGCGCTTCGAGGGCCAAATCACAGTCTACCATTATGGTGGTGGGCCTTGCTATCGCTGCATATTCCCCCAACCGCCTCCAGCGGAGACGGTCACCAACTGCGCGGATGGCGGGGTGCTTGGTGTGGTGACTGGGGTCCTGGGCTGCCTGCAGGCGTTGGAAGTGTTGAAGATCGCTGCAGGTCTGGGCCCCTCGTACAGTGGCAGCCTGCTACTCTTCGATGCCCTCAGAGGACATTTCCGCTGTATTCAGCTCCGGAGACGCAGGCCGGACTGTGCAGCTTGCGGGGAGCGGCCCACTGTGACTGATCTGCAGGACTATGAAGACTTCTGTGGCTCCTCAGCCACAGATAAGTGCCGCTCCCTGCAATTGCTGACCCCAGAGGAGCGAGTTTCTGTCATCGACTATAAGCGACTTCTGGATTCTGGGTCACCCCATCTGTTGCTGGATGTCAGGCCTCAAGTGGAAGTGGACATCTGTCGTTTGCCTCACGCCCTGCACATCCCTTTGAAATATTTGGAACGGAGGGATGTGGAGAGCCTGAAACTCTTAGGAGAAGCAATCCAGGTAGGGAAGCAGGGCACCCAGGAAGGGGCCTCTCTTCCCATTTATGTGATTTGCAAACTGGGCAATGACTCGCAGAAAGCCGTGAAGATCCTGCAGTCCTTAACAGACTTAAACTCTGTAACAGTTCAGGATGTTGTGGGGGGCCTCATGGCCTGGGCTGCCAAAATCGATGGAACATTTCCACAGTACTGAGGTGGCTGGTAGAGTTAGACATGGGACAGAGTCAGTGAAAGATTGCCATGGCTTTTTTGTTTGTTTTGCATTTTCTTCAGTAATGTATGGGAGAGCCTGGGATTCTGCAGTATCTGTGAATACGTGAACTTATTTCTATAACGGGCTTTTAAGTTGTAATTTCTTGAATGGTGTAGTTATTAATGAGTTATAATACTGTTCCTGAGAACTGTCCTGTGTTTTCAGCACTTGGATGGTGTCCTGAAGAGGTGAGAAATAATGTCACAGGACTTTGTGTTTTGAACTGCAGATCATTTGCCTCTCCTGCTGTAATGTGTTTTTTTTCTGACCTCTCCCATGTAAAGGGCTCTTTAAATTGTCCATTTAATTCTTGGAAAGGTGTAGTAAACTTACTGATGTTACAGAATCCAAGCTCATACTGCTCGCTGCAGGACAAGCCAGTAAGTCTAGAGATGAGTTGTTGGGGCAAGGAATAATGACAATTTGGAAAGCCAGCAGACTGAAAAGTTTCCCAAAGAACTGTCTTACTTGTGTTAGAATTCAGGCTTCTGTATTAAAAGGGGAGGGGATATGATTGGTTGTTGCAAAGTTCTTGGTGTCAGGAATCCTTTGTTCTTTCAGCTGTCCTGTAGGTCAGGTCAGGATGTTCCTGTAAACCTTCAACAAGACAAACCTTATTCTCTGTTCTGAGACTTCTTCTCTCTATAGGAATGGGAAAATGTTACACCTTTATAGGTCAGAGCCTTGAGAATGGGTTGTCATGTATATTTCAGGCTACTGGCAACATTCTTAACTGGTAGCAAAAGCAATAGAATCCAAAGGTTAAAGTATCTAATGTGGAGTCAGATTTGCTCTTCTCTGGTACACCGAATTGATCATAGGTGGTTATACTTAAGATCAGTTTATTGTTTACTAAGACATTCTTTGGATATTCTTCAGATGATAGACTTATGTCCTAGAGAAATCAGTGTTTAAAATGTATGTTGTTAAAACATTAAAATTATCTGGGAAGTGGTCATTCTATTAAACATTTTGAATTAATATCCAAGTGAGGTATTTGCAGTCTACCAAGATAGAAATCACCTTTGTAGCCTGTCAGTTTCTTTTATAAATTGCTGGGTTTTTTTCTTATTAGCTTCAGAGTCCACCTTACATTATACACACATAAAAATTTCTAAACTGTACACTGTGGTTTGGCTTGTGTTGGAATCTTCAAGTCCAAGTCCCAACTTTCTGCCCTCCCCTGTCCTTTTTTCCCTATCCAGTTTGTTTTTGTTTTTTGTTTTTTGTTTTTTTTTTGGCTTTACTACAGTAAAGCCTACATTTGGCCAGGATGCCAAATGCAATATTGAATTGAAGTGCAATAGTGAACATTCTTCTCTCCTTCATGATTTCAGGTGAAAAACTTTGAATATTTGACCAATATTACTTGTTACTGCTTTACTGTAGATAAATATCCTGTATCAGACTCAATAAGTTTCTGTTTATAGTTTGATAAGAGTTTTCATTGAATTCATCAAATGCTTTTTCTGCACTTTTATATACTCTTATCTCCTGTTAATGTTGTGAATACATTGTTTTTTTTTTTTTTTTATTGTGGCAAAAAAACACATGACATAAAATTCACCTTCCCAGTAGTCTCCATGTATATAATACTGTCAGCTACATGCACGTGCTGGGCAACAAATTCCAGAACACCCCATCCTGCATGACTGAGACTTTACACCCACCAAACAGCTCCCAACTCTCCCCTTTAAGTTGCTTTTGTTATTTGGATTTAATCTCTTCCAGCATTTTATAATAGTATAAAATGTAGATTTTTAAATGTTTATTTTCTTATTAAACAGCACTTTCATGAAATGGTAGTTATACTGCCCTACTTCCAACATATACAACAAAATTAAAAGCAACATTTTGGTATATGACTATATGTTAGTGGCAAATTGACAATCCATGCCATGTCAAAAGGGGGCCTCTATTGTCCAGCTGAGTGTTGTATGCAGCCCCATAATCGTCAGAAACCACAGATGTAAATGTGGAATCTTTGTATGTCTGACTACAGATTTTTTTTAAAGTTTAAAAGCATTGTGAGCCAGACAAAACCCTTTGCAGGTCAGAATCTGTCATTAGTTTGCAGTCTGATACTCTCGTTTTATTAGAAAAGGATAGTACAGTCAAACTGGGAATTAGGGTAGTCATCGCCTTTTGACAACATTGTAGCTCATTTCTGAATAACCGTGCTTATTGTGTCATAGGCCTTTCTCTGTTATAAAGGTGGAACAGGTCCCTTATGACGGTTTCTCCCAAGGAGAGTTGGAAGTAAGTGACAGACCTGGGGAGGAGAACAAACATGGCAGGCCTCCGCCTCACTTTTTATTCCTGGGACAAAAGCTGATTCTCACACATACCAACGGACATAGGAACTATTTCATACTGTAAAGGCTGATGTCCTGAAGTTAGGCGGTTTTTGTATTCCTACAAACCTGGTTGTCACTGGGACAGGCAACAGAAGCTGACCGTGACTGGTTAAGTGGGAAAAGGGCTTATTAAGGTGATATGAGGTGCTTTTGAGAATTTGGGGGACAAACTCAAAAGCTATCCTTCCAAGGAACGATGCCCCAGACCATGTACGGAACTGACGTGAGAACGCTGTCTATGCTCTGCTGCCCCATCGAGTACTAGAGGAAGCTGCCAGCATAGCCTCCCCCATAGCCTCCCCACCCCACTTCTCTCCAGAAAGCCCAGCAGTTCAGCCACAGCTCGGGGCAGAGAGCAGAGTTGCTTTACATTGGTCTTTTCTGAGTCAGTCTTACGAGGGTGTGTCTAGTAGGTAGACCATCGCGTGCCTTCATCCTAGCTACAAGAGTAGCTGGGAATTTGAGTTATGATGTCTACAAGAGGGAGCCAGAACTCATAATCTGGGATTTTTCTCCACTTAGTGGAAGATTTTTATTCTTTGAAATTTTGTTTTCTATGGCTAGGTTTTTACAGTCAGATGGGATTTGAACTTGATCACTTTTTTCCTTTTCATTTAACAAACATCAAGTATACTAGTTACCATTCTCAGCTCTGGGATAAAGATGAATAAGAGATATCCTACAGCTATGGAATTTACACCTAAATAGGAGTAGACAAGTCAACAAGTAAATTAGTGATAAATGCCACAAAAGAAACGAAACTGATGTAATGGGGTGGGGAAGGAGGAGCCATTTTGGGTAGATTAATTAGGAGAAACCTACGGAGCAAAGTTGACATTAAACCCCAAACCTGAATGGGGAAAAGAAGCCAATCAGATCTGGAAGAACATCTGATACTGGAAGAAAAACAGTGGGAAGACCCTAAGACAAACTTGTCATGCTCAGGAAACTGAAGAGGCAGGTTGGGTTGTGAACCACTGGGGGCAGTAGAACAAGGTGAAGTTTAGGGAGACAGGGAACATACCATGTAGGGTGTAGAATGTAATAGGAGTTTTTTATTCTAAGTAAAATAACAACTAACAATTGAGCAGTCCTGGTGATTTGCGATTCAAACCCAGGTGGTTTGGCTGAAGACCCATACTGCCCTAAGCAGTACGCTATGCTGTGTTCTCAGTGAGAGCTTTGTGACTGTGTATGTTTTCATTTTTGAAAAGCAGTCTCTGCCCTGATAACCATGGAATGGAAAAGCTTGTATTTCAGAAGCAATAGGAACGAACTGATGCATTTGGTTTACAGATCTCTCTCTAGGGAAGGAACCCTAGACCGAAATCCTTGGGAGCCCTCTGACACCAGTGTGTCATGTGGGCAATGTCCAGTTAACCCAGAGTCACTTTGATTAGGGAAAGTGAGAAAGTCTCAATGTCAGGGGCCACAGCTCGTAAATGAAATGGTGCCAAGGGGAGGGGGGCTAAACAAGGGCAGTGAGTCTCCTGAGAGTGTTCCCATGGGAGAGGAGGGCTTTTTTTTTCAAGCTTGTTTATTTTTAATTAGCTGTTCCCTCGCACAGCAGCAGAGGGTCCCCCCTCAGAGCCTGAGGTCAGGTACATGGCCCAGTTTGCTCTACCCAGGAGAAGATTACTTTCATAGGTTTTATTTTCTCAGGGTTCCATAGGTAACATGAGGTAGCCCTATCCAGGTAAAAGTAAAATCTCATCACTTGAAATCATGCATCTGCCTTAAGATTCAGGATAATTCTGGAGTCGGTTGGGAATATTAGGAAAACTAGCATAGTGCAGGAGTGGGAAGGGTTTTTGGAAATAAAATGGTAAAAGGGGTTAATTCATGCCTTTGATTTCTGAAGCACTCAAGATGTGAGAGAAAAGCTAATTAAACCAGCCCAGAATTTGGGTGATAAATAAGATACATACAGTTTACTGTAATTTACTATGAGATCCTACATATTGACACTGATTCTGGCTTCTAATCTTTAGTCCAATTATTCAGAATTTAAAAGACAACAAATTGTGATTTATCCAGCTGTTTCGTTCCTGACTTTTAATGCCATTTGTTGGACAGGTTGCTGAAGATAAAGAAAAAGGCTTATATCTTAGAATTTCCCTTCTTGGTGGCACCTTGGTTAAAAAGGTGCCAGAGTAGGGTGACATTGATGGAAGATGTTTTGGGCATAATTTTGTTTTTTGTTCTCTTGTTTTATTTTTTGATAGGGGGAGATAATTAGGTTTATTTACTTTAATGGCAGTACTGGGGATTGAACCCAGGACCCTGTACATGCAAGAAATCTACTCTACCACTGAGCTATAACCTCCCTGAGCATTTTTAATTAGTATTTTCCTTACCCAGTGCTTCCAGATGAGGGAGTACTGAAACGAATTGGAATTTAGCAGACCAAAGTTCAGGTGGGTTGAAGCAGTTGACTCTCAAGTACGAGAAAACCCCCAGGCAAGCCTGCTATGTGTAAGAGCCAAGAGAAGCAGTGCTCTTACAATCTTGATTTAGTCACCCTGGGTAAACTTGAGGTTGTTTACCCGAAAGCTCCCCACTCCCACCTTCCTCCCTGCTGGTAGGGCTGAACGTGGCAGAGTCCTTTCCTAGCCTCCCCTACAGTTTTTGAGGAACCTGTGCTTCTAAACAATTTCTTCCATCAAATACAGTTCAAATCCATCTCCTTCTCACTATCTCCACTGCTGCTCCCCTAATCAAGCCATCTCTCCATCAGAGGTATGGCTTTTAAGGAACACACACACACCGTCAATCACACCACTGAGTACCAAAAGTACGACTGCTCTTAAGTCTTGAGATAGAAGAGGTACCTGTGTACAGCAGGGACCGGACTACCAGCCTCGTGATATTTTTGTTAAGTATAGATGTCCTTTTGGTAGTCTTGAAATCTGTGAAGGAAAATAGGACTTTTAGATCACGTTTCTCTTACTGATGTAGTGAACAATAGTTATCTATTTTGCCCAGAGCGGAAAGGGATTTGCAGACTCAAAAACTCCAGGGGCTAAGCAAATGAGAAATGAGTAAAGGTGCTCGCTAGAATTGTGATGAAGTGGGAGTACCTGGCTCACTGAAATCTACTGCACAGCTGGCTCGCTTTGTCAGGCAGGAATGTGGGTACAGTGTTGACAGACCTATCAGTGTTTTAAGAAAATAGGAACATTTGAAGTTTTCTCTGAAATCTCCTAATTTTCAATGTCAAAAAAAATTTTTTAATTCTGAAACTGTTTACCAGTTGAAATAAACCCACAGGAGGCTGGATAAAGTCTTTAGGCTTAAACAGGAAAAACCAAACAAAAGAACCCAAAACACGTGGTTTGAGTTATTATCTTTGCACTTCAAAATTACATAAAAATAAAAAGTTTGAAAACAAAGCAAAAAAAA